GATAGTTGAATTTTCCCACGAGCATATGGATAGAACTCACGTTCCCGTTGAATTTCATATAGCTTTCTTCCCAATAGGCTATATGGAATTCTATGAAAGCGTAAGTTCTACTTATATGATTGTGAGAAAATTCAATTATCAATCCCAAAGGTGAATAAAAAGTTTATTCAGGAAATACTTGTTTCTTGGAAACCTGGTTTTTTGAAGTATAAAAGATATTTAAAAGTGATAAGCTAAAGCTGAAGAGAAAGTATGAAAGTATCCAATATAGGGTTTTTGTTTGCTGATTCCTAACTTGGTCAGCTTAGATCGTTTAAGGCGATTTAGTGACTGATAGTTGAGTTTTTCCCCAATCCGATGAGCAGTCATCATGGTTCCAGTGGATTTCACTTCCTTCCAAAAAGCCATCTCATCCAGCTTGGACTGGACGGCTATTTCGGCCTCACCTCTCCGCCCCATCGGCGCCCCCAAGTGGGCTTTGATACGAGATAACAGCGGGTCAATTGGCACAATTCAAGACGAACCAAGTACCTTCCAAGTCACACTTATGGCGGAATGAGGGATATCACAAGGCCAACTTTACTCGTGGGAAAACGTCAATCGTAAATCCTTAGATCCCCTTAAATGGTGCAGGATAACACTGTTCTTATTAACGAATCACTGATTGTCTCGAGACCCATTCACATAGAAAAGAAGGTAGAAAGCCAGGGACTATAAAATTTGCCTACAATGTTGACTATCCTGGAGATTTAGTGCTTGTAATTAGGGAATTGGACAAGTAATTCGGAGAAAACAAGGCAATTCTGGTAGAGCCAAAAGTGTGTGCGCTGCAGTGTAAAAGCTCGGTAGTGACAGACGAATATATGTGCAAATTACTCAGTACATACAAGGTACACTCATGCATAGTGACGCACACCAAGACACAAGCACAGACACACACCGGTCAAACACAGAATGGACATCAACCTGAGAAATTGCTAATTATGATGGACTATTGACTCTTGTAGGTTGTGGGATGCAACCTCGGTGTTAAGGTCATATCTTGCTCCGAGCAAAAGGGAGCTTGGGAAATAAAGCCTGGAGACACAGGCAAAGGACTCACCTCAAGTCAAACGAAAAACACACTCGGAACAGGAAAAGATGAGAAATAGAAGACGGAATAGAGGATAAACAAGAAGACTGAAGGGTACATGACTGAATCCGAGTTGAGAGAGCCGGACAGCGAATGGTCAGGTTCGCAAAAAGAACTAGCTGGTCGGAAGAAGCATACCGAAAGATGTCGATCAATTCTGATGTTTATGACAAACTAGATGGCATGGCGACAGAAGCAGCCGACAAAATAAGAAATGTAACTTATAAACAATTTGGTTTTTTATTTATCGTTTATAAGTAGGGTTTCGAGACTACCAATCTTTCATCACCTTAAAAAAATAGAATGAATATGTCTCAATTAATCTGATTCCTGATGGTAGCGATCAAAACCTACACGAATAACGACAACAGACCAAGCTACGGCAGGCGAAACTAAGGGTCGTGTAGGCCAATTTCATGAGGAAATAGCCACGCTGAAACCACAAATTTGAAGACTTCAGCGGTGGGCAAAAGTTGAGAAATATACGCCCTCTATGAACTTGCATTTCTGAGGTGGAGACAAATGAAACAAGTAGAGTAAAGCCAACTTGGGGACAAGAATAGGAAGCAGAACAACATTTAATTTTATAATTTTGCAACTTTTCCCTATTCAGTTTGGGTTAATAGACTAATGAGGAATGATGCAGATCTGCTGTAGGGCCGAATCTGCGCACTACTGGGGACGACATACCATTCAGCCCTCGTGGAATGAGAAATAGAAAAAAATGGTTGGGAAAAGATTAAAAATCAAGTGCAATGGCAAATCGGAAAGCATAGCCGCCTGAAAAATTGCCAAAATTGGGCTGCATGTGGCAGGTTGTAAGAAGGCATCGCGCCTCAACCGTCGGATTAACCCAAATCTGAGGCGAATTATTCTATTTTGGTCTTTCCGGAGTCCTGAGGCGATTGTGCCCACCAAAAAGGGGCGACGCGAAACTAGTTAAGGTCGCTCTTGACCTACCAGTTGCTACAGAGCAACCGATGCTGATGCAAGCTGGCTCGCTGAAGATGAGTTAATGACTGACAGTGAATTTAACTGCCGCTTTGGCAACAGCTTCGATATCGCTTCATTTGGAGTCGAGGTTGGGTTGTGAGTCTCGTGACTAAAAGCTACCCCCTCAGTGAGTCATAGGGCAGATGTGACCCTAAATACGAGCGAAATCTCGCGCAAATCACAGTTCGTATAGGATTTTCGAAATGTGTCTGCACCACAGACACTCTGCCACATCCTTTTCTACTTTTAACCACACCTGCCACCAGAATCCACAATTAAGACGCGTTAATAGCTGTCAATCATGGCTATACATATGCCATTATCTCTACATTTCACATGCACACTGCTTGGCATCACACCCATTATTCGTCATGGTAACGACGTGTCCGTCTTACACTTCATGAGAGATGTAAGCAGAGAGCTCAGTTTGTAATAGACCTGACAGCGGAGCCTCAAACGTAACTCACGCGACTCAATCGTGCTTTATGGTGTCACTTCTTTACTCATCCCGTCAACATAAACATCATGTATTCTGCTTCTCTCAGCCTTAGTTACCTCCCCCCCCCATTTATTCAGCATACCAATAAACAATTTTGCAGCCAGATACTAAAATGTATAGGCCATTCCAACAGACGACTGTAGGCTGATTGCTTCCAGACTGTAAAGATGTCGCACGGAACCAAGCGACCGTCCAGTTTAGCTTCTACTTTTTCCGTCAAGCTCAAGCGAATTCGGCATTGTCACAAACGCCTCAGCGACATGCAATGTCTGCACAAGTATCCTTACAAATAGTGAGTATGAATCGAGAAAATTCGTAGCTTCTTGATAAAAACTTGAGTAACTTTGGGTCGTTTACGATGACGCAGCAACTGTATCTTCCCATAACGCAGCGAGTAAACCTGTGGTACTATCACATTTCACAGATTCTGGTGAAAAGTCCCATTCGACGATGAGATGAGAAAGTAGTTAGAGGGTCTCATGAGAGATGAAAATTTACTTGTAGCTAACTCGACTATCAGACCTGCATCAGCTCAGGTGAGCTAAGGTGATGAAAGTTCTTCTCCCAATACAGCATTGTGATTTGCTCTGATATTTCGTTTTGTATGAAAGTGCATGAAGAAGAGATTCACTGGTCGATCTCACCAGAAGAGGACGTATGAATTCCGTTGGACGAAAGCTCAGCCCATGTTCACCTGAAACAAGTGAGGAGAACTCGTGGACTGCGTCAAACGGCTGCAGTACAACGCGATTCATCCCTCCTCTTCTGGTGAGATGGACCTACGAATCTCTTCTTCATGCACTTTCATGTGAAATTAAAGTCCCCCAACGAGATGCATTCATAATTGTTACCATGGTAGCATGAGCCAGTTGTGAAAATGAGGAGACCACGAACAAAATAGAGGTCACAACATCTTGGTCTTCAGAGATGTGATTAAAAATAAATACGTTTTGACTGAAAGGTGGATGTGAGTGTGATTGCGTTCCCCTAAACCCGAACTATAGGATGAAAATATGCATCAGGGCAGGAGGCGTGGTATGCCAAGCGTTTGACCGCAAGCATGTCAAAGGGTGGACTTCACTTGTTTCTTTGGCGGGCTGTAGATTGGTGCTGAGAATGGCAAAGGTCACTGAGGATGCCAATCATAATATGGTCGAAATGTTGAGGAATATCCTAATTTTATGGTTCCACGTCATGAGGTAACGTCTTCGATGTTGCGAAAACGAAATTTGACCACTTATCGACAGCATAAAGTTGAGTTAATGGCATAATAGAAATAAGTCACTTTTGCTAGGATACTCAGCCGATCATCTGTTCAACTGACCTTAACCTGGCAGAAGAGGTACTCTTAGCTGACGGCATGGAGCTTCCGCCAGAGCGACTGCTCGCGAGCTTTTCACAATGGCCCGAGGCAGCTGGGCCGCCGGTGCTGAAGTTGTCGACGGCGCCGATTCGTCTGTTGACAGTCAGACGGTTGGTGTCGTTGTGGCCAGGACGGCGTTTAAGCATGCGACTGGAAACGCCTCCATAATCGTATTTCGCCTCATCCTCCTTCTCCTTCTCCTCCTCCTCGTAGTCGTCGTCATCGCAGTTGTTGTTCTTGTTGTTGCTGTCGTAGTCTTCGTCGTCGTCGTCGTCATCAGCGTCATCTGGACTGTTGGAATCGTCGTCATCCGAGCCGTCAAAAGTGAGGCCCGACTTGGCAAACATGGCGCGGAGCTCCCAACTGCGAGGGTAACCGGGCTCCAGGTCAAGGCCGGCCGGGAGGCGAGTGAAACCACCAGCCCCTCGATGGCCCAACAATACCAGGTCCACATCGGACCCGGTGCCGATGAGGCCGGATGAGGCGGCCGGTACCGTCGTGTCTGCGGCGTCTTGAAAACGTCGTGCCTGTCTGAGCTCAGCCTCGGCGGCTGCGGCTCGACGCTGCATCATTTCAGCCTCATCCCGAGCCTCACGAACCTGTCGAGCGAGACGACGGGCTTTTTCGCGTTCGGCCAACTCAGCAGCAACCAGTTGGTCGCGTTGCTCCTTCAACTGGTCCGCCGCTTCGCGAGTCCGTTCCAGCTGGGCCTGAAGACGCGATCTCGCCGTCGTCTCGAGCGTCAGACGCGCTTCCAGATCCGTGATGCGAGCCGTCAGGCGAGCTACCTCAGAATGATCAACCTGATCAAAAAGAGAGAGAGCGCGAAGACCATTTCTTTCAGGAATGCTCAAAAAAAACAACTAAGCCTACTCAAAAGCGAGAAGAGAAGGGCCAATTTGATAAATTTACCCTTTCATAAGGGTTTTTCGATATAAGATTCACCATATCTCGTTTAGGATTTTCCCACAACAATATAATTGGGTCATTGAATTCCACAGAGCCTTACATCCATAAGGTATTCTCATACCTGCCTCGAGGGGAACTGGAACGAATATTTTTTGTATATAAGAAGAGTTTCTAAACTACCAGTAAATCAGTAGTATGAGATGTATTCACCCTAATGAGTTCAAGGTAATGAAGGACTGACTGGTAGAAGAATTTTCCCACAATGATATGAGTAGAGCTGACGCTTCCATTGAATTCAACACAGACTTGCTTTCCCAAAAAGCTATGCAAAATTCTATGGAAACGCCAGCTTCAATCATATCATTGTGGGAAAATTCGACTACCAGGGCGAATACATCTCATATAACTTCCACGGACCGAAGTGAATTTCAAGCAGGCCTTCGCATTTCCCATAACTCATTTAGGCGGAGAGATTTTTGGCTTCTGTAAAATTCAAATCTGCCCTGTGATCCAAAGATACTCGTAGAAATGTGATGTAATGTTTGACTTTAGCTGGGGGCGCTGATGAGAACTAGGCGAGGTCACAGCTGCATTCCACTTCTGCATGAATGAGAATACCTTTTTGGAAGCAAGTTTGTGTGAAATTA